ATAAAATAAAACAATAACATCCTTAAGCTTAAATCACACTATGAAAAAAAAAACTGTGTTTTTTACACAGTTATTCCAGTTTTTATTTTGCATTAGTTGTAACTGCATGAAAAATACATTTTGGTAATGTGATTTGAGCTTAAGGTTGTTGTCCTGTTTTGTTTTTTATTTTAAATTGCATGATATATCAGTTATTAGTTTTGAGGCCAATTTATTTCCACTGTAACCCAGATTTGTGCTTTTGCATTTAAAGTATTCACTGTGAAAAAAAGTCTGTAAAATCTACAGTAAAAAACTGGCAGCTGTGGTAGCCGTAAATAATACAGTATAGGAACATTTTAGGATTTAACTTAAATTTACATTTAAAAACCATAAAAACTTACATAATGTTAATATACCAACCTATTGAAGTATTGAAATTTGTTATTTCAATGTTTTGATAAACACCAAAAGCACGTGGTGATGAGAGTCAGATGAGGAACCAAAGCCCATCATAAGCGGCTTTTTTTTTTTACTTATATAGAAGGTGCACAGTGTCATTCACACAAACACTAAACACCATCATGGTAACACACATGAAACTGAAATAATGCAATAAACATTAATTTAACAACATTAGATGTAACACACAACCTAATGTACACAACTGATAAGAAAAAACTAAGAAGAAACATAGTTATTTAAACGAAAAACAACATCAAATATGAAATGTAACGCAGGGAATTTTGGGATTGTCAATTTACGTTTTTTCACTGTAAATTATACGTTCTTTTTCCACTTCCAAAAACTCTATACTACCATAAAATTACATGCAATGTCCAATACAATTTTTCACCGTAACTTACATTAACAAATAAATAGGTTTTTACTGTAGCATTTTTACAGTCTTTTACCAATAAAATCATGGTCATTTTAACAGTAACGAGGAAAAAAGTAGTGGAAATTAATGTGGTAGTCAACATTATGCCAAAAGTGCTGTCGTTTTAGCTAAACTTTTATTGAATATTCCTTTAAAAGCTTAAGAAACTGATGGCATCATGGAAGTATTTGAGGTTTTTGTTTTCTCCATGATTTTTAAGTCAGAGCTTTTAATCTTGAGTTAAACCGCTTAGATGGCTTAGTTTTAGTCTTTAATGCAGACCCCCTGCTGACTTGTCCAGTTAGATTGTGGGTAAAATTTGGGACTCTAATAAACCGAAGCCGACATAAACCTGTTACCATCTCGTAATGTGTTTCTTCACATTTCTGATGTGGGATTACAGGAAACATCACTCATAATAGTGGTGCAAAAACTAAAAGTCTGAATTCACTGATATGAAGAAGTAAGGCAGTTCACACCATTTTAATATAAACACCATGTATAGAAAGTTTATGTCAGTTCACACATTTCAGAATCTCTGGTGTTTTGCATACCACACAATTAAATAAGCACACATATCTAACAGGATACTCAAGGAAAACAGTGTTTAAGATGACAGGTTTAAATGTGAACCTGGTTCTGAAGTTACAGTACCTAACATGTGACTTTGCACTCATACACTTGCCACATGACACCGTGTGACTGCAAGACCCTATACAAGAAAGACACAGAGAGACAGAGAGAGAGAGAGAAAGAGAGAGAAAGACTGGATTATGGTTTTAGTCACTGAACCTAAAAATATTGGGTTGTTGATATTTCATAAAGTGAGTGTTAGTTTTCATTGGACTACCGGGTGATGATGCAAATGGCCAATCCGTGGAGGGAATGCTGGATTAGCCCAGAGAATCACTGCATGCAATATTTAGCACTAATCTGTACTCTTAAATCCAACAGGCCCTCCTCACTGAAATGAGTTACACATAAAATCTGTTCTGAGAAACACAGTGGAAGTAAGTCATCGCAGTTAAGCCGTCACCTGACTCCAAATAACTGCCAAAATAATGCTGTTGCTTGATGAAACGTTTGTCACATACTTAGTTTTCACCACTTAGACTTTATAAAAGTCACTCTATTCTTTGTTTCAGTTCCGTTTGAATCATTATATTGGTAGTTTTTGTCTGTAAATGAGGTATTCAGATGAAAGATAAGGAACTTCCTTTGATTCTGGGTTATTTTGAACATATGACTCATAGAAATCCTATTGAAATGTACTGTTTTGTTTTTTCTTTTCTTTTTCTTTTTGGACAAGGGAAATTCTTAATTGTTCATAAGGGTGAATGCTAAGTGCTCTAAATTTAAAGTGATAGTTCACTAAAAATTAAAACTCTGTTATCATTTACTCTTATCATTCATTTCAAACCTGTTCGACTTTCTAAAGGTCAATGGGGTCCAAAACATCATTGGACCCCATGGATTTCCATTGTATGGACAAAAAGCGTTAAGAAATTATTCATAATGTTTTCTTTTGTGTTTCCGCAGAACAAAGAACAGCGAGTAGCCTAAATGATAACAGCATTTTAATTTTGGGGTGAACCAACCCTTTTAAGCTTGTAATTTCTTTATGAACTATACAATTTCCTTATGGTATTTCGTGTGTTTAATGAAGTAAACCTTTCAGTTCGGTGCTAAGATGCGACATGGAGTAAGTCAGACCCTTGTAGGTGTAGACAGTAGCGAGTTATTAATATACTCCATATTGCAGTGACTCACTCAGCTCGTGCGTTGTAAATCTGCCGTAAACAACACAAACCGCCGCTAGAGGTCTCAGACTCAGTGTTGACAAACAATAAAAGAGTTCTATGTGAACATAAATACATATCCACCTTCGGTTAAAACGCTATGCGGGTTTACGGTGGACAAATGTTGCGATTTGTCACTAATCTTCCCTGCTTATAACACAAAGCCAGCTCCAGTTAACCAGAGAGCTGCTTCTGCGCGACTGACGGGACAAAGCCGCTGCGGTCCCATATATCCTCTACAGTATATGACGAGCGAGATACAGTATCATAACAGTGAGTGTAAACAATACCCGGATTAAAAAAACGCTGCATGTAACAATGCTTTTACGGGGTCTGGTTTTACTGTATATGCACGTGCAAACGATAAGATACTTTTTTTCGTGAACCTTTAGTTACAGAGTTTCACATCTTTGTTGCACTCTTAGTATTCTGGCTGCAACAATGCATGCATGTGTAAGTAGGTCAAGAGAATCGTGTTGTTCAGTCAGTGTGTGCTACTGCCCCATCAGTATGTCGATTATAAGAATGAATGAGAGCAAAACAAAGAAAAAGGATTTCAGTATCTCTCACGAGCACTGCAAATTATAGATATCTTGCTGCAGACAACTATTGGGCAGATGCTGCTGATATCTGCCTGAGATCAGTGTCCATTCCAATGGATGTCACTTTTCTCGGATGTTTGTCATTTGGTGACAGAGACTGCTAAATCAGTCTGTCATACCACACGTTGTGACAAAAATGTTTTGAAAGCATGACAGTCTGTGGCACATGGCTATTATAGGCTATTTATATTAATATACTACATCAATAAAAGTTTGTTTTAAAGTGAATCTTAGAGGTGACATTAGCAATAAAAGTCATATCATATTCAAGATGTTACATTTAGACATCTACAATTATTAATTTTTTTTTTATTTGATGTCCATTGTGATATTATCAAATGGATGTTTTGTATGCAAAAATGTTTCAAAAACAACACAAGTAGGCCATTGCATTGCATTGACATTTAACTCGTCTTTCTGGAAACATGCCAATAAGTTGTGGTTGGTGTGACACTAAAAAAAAAAGGTTGAAGAACCATTACTGTTGTACCCTTGAGCAGGGGACATGCTGTCCCTGCAGTAAATATACATGCATAATTGTTGATGCAGAGATATTTATTATTGTTCCTTTATAAGTGCAACATGGCAAACAAAATATTACACACACACAATATATATACAGTATATATATATATATATAATTACTTGAACAACCACAGTCTACACAGTTTTTTTTAATTCACATGCATTTAGTATCTAGATGACAGTAGCTTTTCCTCCCTTTTGGCACATGGTATGATCATTTTCTGGATGTCATGTTAAAAGAATTATGTAACATTTTAAGTAAAAACGCACTTGAAAGATCAGTCAGCTTGCCCCTGATTTACATATCAAAACAAAGAGTGATAAAATTATTTTGTATAAAATTGTATTTCGTTTTCTTGCAATATCTTAAAAACAATTCATATGTATAATTACATGTATTATTATACATAACAAATAAGCACTGTAATTAAAATATATTAAAAAAATTATAAACTCATTTTTAAATTGGTTATTATTGATGTAGCCTACTATTTATCAGCATTAGAGTAGAAATAAAGCATGCTCATATGTTTGAGTCCCTGCAACATAATAAGAAATGAACAATAAGCATGGTTTCGTAACTAATAAAATCATTTTCTAACCCTTGGTGCTTCAGACAATGGCAAATCAAATTTCGTGCGAATCACTCCAGTCCACATATGCGGCCTAAAATCAGCCCTATAAAACTGATCATTGCGGGAAAAGTACAGCCTGTTTTGTTCGTCTGCAAGTTTCGGAAACGGCTGGAAGAATGTCCAAATGTTGTATGGAATCGCGGCGGTTTCACACCACAATGTTCCTCAAAATGCTCCAGTCGATCGGAAAGAAAAGGGAGTTAATATGGCTGTCCACAATTTATCTGTCAGTGTAGTAAGCTCGCCTTGTGCTGCCGACACGACGCGCATAACAACCCATTTAGTTCCCATAATTTCAGAGCTTCTTGTCCCCTCCCCTCCAGACACAGACAACAACATACACCTTAATAGGGGCGCGTCTCCGACACAGCCGCCGACCAATAACCCGTCTGTCTGGGCAGAGACCAAGGGGATGAGCGCTCGCCGAGGCCCAATCAGCGCTTTTGTGTTGCCTGCCGGTGCCGGGGACTGGTCGTGAAGAGCTACAGCAGCGCTTCAGGATCGGAGAGTGAACCCTGTCCAAATGTTGTATGGAATCGCGGCGGTTTCACACCACAATGTTCCTCAAAATGCTCCAGTCGATCGGAAAGAAAAGGGAGTTAATATGGCTGTCCACAATTTATCTGTCAGTGTAGTAAGCTCGCCTTGTGCTGCCGACACGACGCGCATAACAACCCATTTAGTTCCCATAATTTCAGAGCTTCTTGTCCCCTCCCCTCCAGACACAGACAACAACATACACCTTAATAGGGGCGCGTCTCCGACACAGCCGCCGACCAATAACCCGTCTGTCTGGGCAGAGACCAAGGGGATGAGCGCTCGCCGAGGCCCAATCAGCGCTTTTGTGTTGCCTGCCGGTGCCGGGGACTGGTCGTGAAGAGCTACAGCAGCGCTTCAGGATCGGAGAGCGAACCCGGAGCCAGAGGAATCTGAAGGGTAAAGGCGAGTCAGGTGAGTCCGGGGATCCACGCGCGGCCTAGCCGGTTTCGGATCGAATTGGGGAATTTGGGAGCGATATGGTTCATAATCGTTTCCGCATGCGATTTGGCCGTCGTTTGCTGTAAATGAATGGGCTAAACGGTTAAAAAGGGTTTTGAGGGAGTCTGCCGAGCATCCAGACAATAGCATAGCGGATTTTGCGTGGAAAGCAAAGCGCCTCTAACACTCAGCAGTTCAAAGTGGCTGGCTAATACTATTAAAATGAGCTCGGGATTGCGCCGTGGCGTATCGCACATCGAGCGGCTATTTCAAGAGCGATTCCGCGAAAAGCCCGTCATATTTAGCAGGCAACTTTGACAAGTTTACCGGCCGAAGCAGCATTTTATATGTGTGAAACGGCTTTCATTGTTTCATCTGGTGTCTCTAGGGGTTAACCCAGATTGGCGGAGAAAGCCTCGCGTCCTCCCGGCTGTGGCTACAGTAGTGCAGTAGCAGCTCAGACACAATGAAAAAGCCCAACATATACACACATGCAACGCCATCAAAATAAACCTAACGCTCGTATTCCGACGATATCAGCTCAAACGGGCTGTTTTGTGGCTGTTCGGGGTAGCGGGCTTTCTCTCTACAGTGCCGAGGGCACACGGATGGTGTACGGTGAGCCTGTACAATTAGAAAAAAAAGATGTCGAAAATGCATCAGCCATTTACGTAAGTGAGGACGTTCTCTCAACTTGCTCCATATGCACGCAAATGGCTGCCCAACACTTGACAGACGTAAGAGTGAAATCTAATTCCAGCGTGAATGCAGGTATTGATCGAAGCCAACAGGGAGCCACTGATAATCGGGGGAGATGACGTTTAGAAAGAAACTCTGATCAATGATATATGCTCTCTGTAATTCGTTCTCTGCAGACACGTCCAAAGTGAGACTGGCTTTACTTTATAGGCTTTATATAGTCAGAGGTTTACTCTAGCAGTCTGATTTGCAGAGTTTGGCCTCACAAGAATTTCTCCTATGCATTTAGTAAGCAGATGACAGTAGTTTGTTTGAGAAGACTTTTACTTTTTTCTGCTTCATTTTAAAGTAAAAATGCACTTAACAGATAGTTCCACTATATAGGCAAATTCTTATTTTGCTACTGTCCAAAGTTTTTTAATACAGGCACTCAGTAATTTTTTGCTCATTTAAAAAAAAGTTTTACATATAAAGAAATTAACTGCGCTAAATCAAGTGGGTCACCCGCTCATGGGTGCTGCCATGTTGAGATCACATGACTTGCCATGTCATGTAATAGAGTCAGGTTCAAGTTCAGGTTATTTTTTTAAATTGGGGAATTGATTTTTAACAATAAATTAAACGTGAACTACAAGGTTGTTAATCAGTGTTATGCTTATGCCATCACTCTGCATTATTTCAACTTATTTTAAGTAACCATATTTGACAGCAGATTTCTCAGTAAAAAAAACTACATTACCCATCATTATGCAAACAAATCAGTCAATCCGATAATTAAACCAAGCAAATCACATCAAAAGAACACTTTAGCACCAGTGCTTTCGAACTCCCTAAATATTTCTGTATATATTCATATTTTGCAATTCATGTAGAATGTTTTTTCTATATACACAAAACAGCTTTAAATCAATAGTTTATTTATCCATTTTTTATTGTCATTTGCTGTGCTTCACAATGGGATTGTAGTCCTTTCCCTTGCTCAAAGTTGTTGAGTTCACAGACTTTTGGTTTGATTTTTCGAATACTATTTTGCTTCAAATGAACGTTTGTGGTATTTTGATTCACACTGTTGATATTTAGTTTGATTCATGGCTTATAACCTTTTAACAAAGACTTTATACTACTACTAATAGACATAACATAGCAAACCGAATGAGTTTGAATTCAAGAAAGACACAAAAACTAACAAATTAAAAGAAAAACCAACAGCTTAGGTATGAACATGCTATTTGCATCCACACAAATAGGTGTCAGCATAAAGTTTAAAACCACTTAACAGGAGCCAGCTGAATGTAAACACAAACTTACTGAGTGCACCTTTTAAGTTCAAGGAATTATTCAAGAAACTAACAAACTTATGTGCTCCTAGATATTTTTATAGCATATAAAAGTTTACCACTTTGACAAGTCACAGAGAAAAAGCTCTCCACCCACTGTTATTAAAGTCATTTATACTTATTGTGCAGAGAGAAAGGTCCGCATAGAAGTCACCGAACATGTACTTCTCTAGGAATTACCCTGGTGAGATCATTCTAATGTCTGATGTAAGTAATCTGTGTAAACAACAGAACTGTGAAGAAAAAAATATTTTTTAGTAAGTAGCACATCTTATAAGAGCCAATTGGAGTGTTTTCTGCTAATTTTGAAAAAGGCTGCTGCATACTGTGAGGGGCGCCCCACTAGTATTACATCCTCAAGAGGGGTCCAAACAATGTTCTTATTGACTGTTTTGCTCAAAGGCATTTTGTGTGGACTGTTCCTCCTCCTCCCCCTCAGGCGGAAGATACTTGGCAGTGTGGTATTTATTTTTCTACCTTTTTTTGGGCTATAGTTGGTGCACCCGGGCTTATGACCATTGCCTGTGAAAGGATTTTATGCAGTTTGTTCTCTTTAATTTCCATGGTGCACGGGCACCTTATTGCTAGTGACTGTCTAGCTTTGTTAAGCCCACGAAACCTGTGAAGTGCGGTGCCAGGTGATAAGACGGAACACACTGAGATGAGCAAAGACTCTAAGCTCAAGTTATCAATGTAGATTCCATCATAGATCTGTCATGGTACCTCAAGTACCTGTTCTACCTAAACCTGCTACACACCAGATCTTATGTTAGTAGTGGTGCTTTAGCACAACATTGACATTCCCATGTTGAATGCAAGGATTTTCACTTTAAATATAAGCCCAATGCATATTTTCAAGTGGTTCACGATTGAGGGCTTAAGCCTTGTGCTGTGGATAGTTCACCCAAAATACAAATTTTCATTTGCTCACGTCAGTGGGGTCCAAAACAATGTTAACATTCTTTAAAATATCTTCTTTTGTGTTCTCTATAAGAACGAAAGTCACATGAGGGTGGGTAAATGACAGAATTGATTTTTTGGGTGAACTAATCCTTTTTATAAGCATTTGTAAGTGCAGAATTACTATTCACAATCTAAAAACTATTTTTGTTCAGGTGATCCTGCGTTAGATCATATTTTGACTTAGCACTTAACTCAACTTGGATTCAATCATGGGTTCATCTAGAAGACGAGACCATGCCATTGAAGAAGACATTTGAGAGGGAAACATTTAGAACTGGATATTGACTCTTGGATCAGAAAGAGTACTTGACTTGGCTGGGTTTCAGGATTGCTGAATGGTCAGAAACGGTAGTGTTTAGAATTAGCAGTGCCCCTTTGGCAAACGTATTGGAGTAGACGCAACAAAACGACTTGCTCTGTAAACATGCGCCATGAGATTTACGGCAGTGCAATATGATGATGTGGACCCAAGTTGTGCTAGTTTTGTAAAACGAACCCTCAATGCGACAATTCTAAGAGCCGAGAGCAGGGCATTGACACTCAGATGTCCTCCCATTGATCTCCTACCCTTCAACGCACCTTCAGTGTCGTTAGTGTTGTTTTAAAGCTGGTTAGAATGAGAGGGAAATGTTCACGTCTGGTAGTTTGGTTTTGTGTGATAATGGGTTTAGGACCGATGGGTCAGGTCCAAAAGGGTTTGATTCATTGGCTCTTGGGTAAGCTAGGGGCTGCTGCTCTCCCTTTCCCCAGATAAGGCTTTTTGGTCTAGGAAACAATATGAGCACATGTCTTTTGGCTGTATAAAGCAGTGTAATGGACAACATCATTACCTCAGACCTTCCCATTGACATCATAGAGAAATTATTCTGTCATATACTGTTTTTGATTGTACTCGTTTTGCGGTTTGAAGTTTAGTTACAGGGTTACAAATCATAATCGCATATAGCCTACCATAAGGTTTTAATAATTAATCATGTACACTGCAGTTTATCATTTAGCTGTTTTCATTTTTAATTCAGTATTTGAACTATAGTTTCCAAGCGTTTCCTTATAGAGAAAATTTGTAATCAAGTGGTGTTCATACTGGTTATTGTCAGCCTGCCCTGTATCAAGTCTTCCGTTTGCATTGACTATATGAGAAGGTCTGATTGATACCTACTCAAAATCAGTGCTTATTTCATGACCCATAGTTATGTAAAATTGAGACCTGAATGCCTGAATGTTTTGAAAAGAAAGAAATCGGGATAATTACCCCTTAATCAGAAACATTGCGTTTATTTAAAAAATTTCCCAAGCAAAAATCCTTTGAGGGTGAGAAGTCTTGTCGGTTGCTTGTACATGCTACTAATTGATATGGATGATGTTAATGAATGTGAAGTGATAAATCTAGATCAGTGAAAGAAGTGCAAATAAAAAGAAAAGTATGTCAAACCTTTTTGAGCCTGATGCCAATCTATGTCAGTATTCAGTAGTATACAGTAGGAAGTGTTTTATAAAGGGTTAAGTTAAAAAAATTAACATTCTGTCATCATTTACTCACTCTCATGTCGCTTCAAACCTGTATCACTTTCTTTTTTTTTTCAACAGAACACAAAAGAAGATATTTTGAAGATAGTTGGAACTGTTTTGTCCACACAATGAAAGTCAATGGGGTCCAAAACAACATCTTTCACTGTGTGGAAAAAACACTTAAGCATTCTACAAACTATCTTCTTTTGTGCTCCACAGAAGAAAGTAAGTCATTTAGAATGGATAGTGTTGTTATCATCATTTAAAACTATTAAACATTGTTTTCATTCATTAAAATACAGCTGAAATAAATAAATAATGTTGACACAAATACCTGAGGTAATTGCAATAAAATAAAGTTGATTGACCTTCTCAAAAATTAAATGAAAACTGAATATATATATACACGCATAATAGTACGTAAATAATAGTAAATTATGGTTCAGAATGGCAAGAGTAAATGAT